TCTTGCCAGTCTTTCTATCATCATGTCCCTCCAAGTAGTTCTCTTACTACTGTTTTAAGTAGTTTAGATAATTCACCACTTGAGCACATAAGTAATTTATCACCATTAAATCACAAGCCTTTATTTTCCAAACATTCTGTTAACAATGAATAGGCATGAATCAAGAGGAGAAATAAGCCCTAGAAAAAAAAGGTTTGAATACCAGATTGTCCTTTTTAACTTCTCAGCTTGCTGTTACATCCAGCAAGTATTGAAAAAAATTAGTAATAGTGACAGCAAAATTAAAAAGCATGTCATACAAGTTGAAAGTACTGAGACAAAAATTACATAAAAGAAACAAATTGTTAAAGTTTTAAGAGCTGAACTTAGAGATCTTAAACAAAATTTGCAAACATATTATTACAGTAAGATAATATACAATCTTAAAGCTTAAAAAAAAGGCAATGAAAATTTCAGAACTTTAAAAGCTAAAATAAGTTAAAGTTGTATATAATATTAAGGCAAATAAAATGCTTATAGCTAGTTACGAATATTTGCTTGCATATATGTAAAGCAGTTGATCATCTAACTTTTATTTATATTTTCATTTAGCATCTTTTAATGATAGCGATCAATCGATCATCTCAAATATATCAAACGCAATGTCAGGCAAAGTTGCAACTAACCATCTTACCATATTCTAAATCAAAACCAGGTTCACTTTTGAAAATGACCTTGAACCAAATATTTTAGATCCAATAAAAAATGTTTTGTTTGATTGATGAACACTTTATCAATATTACTTTTGCTTGTCTTATTGCAGTGGGAGATGTCATAACTCATCAATGTAAGAGATATTTCTCACTTTCTATTAACCAGACTCTCAAGGAGGAAGTAGCATGTGCAAGGCTTCACGATATAAATAGTGAAGAGTTAATGGGAATGTTTAGTGAGGCTGAAGAAAAATCACCTAATGCAACAGTTTGTTATGTTTCATACAAATTAAATTACCTAGATAGTTTAGATCAATTATCTAGAGAAAATATTGTTATGTGGTGGATTCAGAAACCCATAAAAATGTAGTTATGTGGTTGATTCAGAAACCCATAAAAATATAGTTATGTGGTCTATTCAGAAACCCATAAAAAGAGATGATAAATCAAATGAAGCATAATGATATATGAGTAGATATTTCAAAAAAATATGTATGCAAATGCCAAAAAATGGATGAAAAAGACAAAAGAAAGTTAAAATGACAGTTGTTTGAACTCTTTTACAATGAAATAAAGTGTTTAAATACATTGTAAATACAACTTCATGACTAAGATGATGTAATGTCAGATAGAATTGTTGGGCAAAAACTTTGCCATGAATGGTACAATAGTAAGTATTCAAAGTATGACATGAATGATGGTAGAGAATAAAAAAACTTGATAAAACAAAACAAGACAAAGTTTACACAATTTCTTACTGGAATAAAGGTAATACTTATACTGACGCTGTTGACTGCAACATGAAAAAATTTCAGCTTCCGCTGATGTTGGACTAAGAGAGTTGATTTTTTTTTGAAGTGTAATATGTAACAACTTATGATATTACTTGTAATGAAGCTTTAAAAATAGATACTGCAAGTGATAAAACTTACAAAACAGATACGGCATATGATGAAACTTGTATAAAGGTATTGTAAGTAATAAAACTTGAAGTAGTCATATCAAGTCAGGTATGCCTGGTATTAAACCATATGTTTTTGTTTTACTTTTTTTTATAAATGTTTTTAGAGAAGAATAAAAGTATTTGACTTGCAATGACCTTTGCACAAGTGTTGTGACTTGCAAAATATTTTGATAGGCAGCTCTGGCTATCCTCACGTGGTTTCTATTGTTATAAATGATTATTATAGTGTTCCATTTATGAAATTGACTATCTTAATTATTTACTAAAAGCTAAGACAACTATTTAAACTTAGGATATCTAAAATGTTTTAATACAGAACAATAAAATTGATTGTTACATTTTTTTATAGGATACAACACTGATATTTTTGGTAATGAAATAAAATATATTTAATGAAATATCAAAAAATGAAATATACTAATTTATTTTGTTTGTTAAAAATACAATTATTTTTAAGAATTCAACATCTTTTTATTGTAGGTTGTGGGTAACCATTACCACTCTATTTAACAAACTTCTCAACTTAACCAAAATTTACGAATAGCAGCGAAAAGACTTTTTTTTTCAAAATTAGGCTCGGTTGTGGTCTTTATCTTTAGCTTGTAGATTATACTTGGTGCAAAAAGCCCAATTCAGGTTTTAAATTGTTAACTTATTTTAAATTGTTAACTCATTGTCAGGTTTTGAATTGTTAACTCATTTTAAAATAATTATAGTTGTTATTATAAAGATTGATTTATTTTACTTATTCATTTTTTTAGGTTGGAGGGGGGGGGCACACGCCCCTTCCACAAGTCAATAAGCACACCACCAATAAATGAAATTCTTGTAGCAAAAAAATTTTTTATGTTTTTTATACTGTGTACTAGTTTCACTTATTTTATTAAATATAGAAATATTTATTTATAATTAGAGAATTAAATATTTTTGAAATTAGGGTGTGTTAAACCATCACCACCATATCCACCACCAGCTTTAATAAACATCAATCATTGACGGTCTGGAATAAAATTATAGCAATTTTTTGTATAAAAAAAATAACCGTTTGTTGAAAAAAAAAACTTTTTATTGAAAGAAATATGCTTATTTTTAGGGTAAAGGTGGTGGTTCGGCACCCCCTCTAGCCCCCAGGAAACGCCCTATAGATGGACGATGTTATAAATTTGTAGCCCACAGTTACACCTATCTTTTGACACTAAGTTATAGGTATTTAGACAAGAATTGACAAAGTTATAACAATTTAAGTAAAGAAAAATTAAATTTTGACCACAGTTTCTTCAACAAATCCATATATCAAAAATTTGCGACTAAAAACGTCATAACTTTTTGTACAATAGTCCGATTTTAATAATTTTTTCACCTTTAAAATACTGTATTGAAGCACTTTCTAATGATATATAACAATCTAACCTTTGATCACTTTAAGATTTTTAATCCACATACCTAATATATATAAGTTATATATATATATATATATATATATATATATATATATATATATATATATAAATATATATATATATATATATATATATATATATATATATATATATATATATATATATATATATATATATATATAAGTTATATATATATATATATATATATATATTTATATATATTCTTGTTCTGATTTAACTTTAAGTTTAACTGCTATTAACACAATAAATTTTAAACAGTTAAAGATTACAACTTTTTTTTTAATTATATTTTATTAGATAATCGCAAAAAAACAATAATATTGAGTTCCATAAACTTTATCTGAAGGGTAATCCGGTAATATCAATTGATTCGCGGCTTAAATTCGCGGTCTACAATTCGCTTTCAATTTTCGCTTTTCAATTCGCTTCGTCCGCTGTTGTCTTTTTCGAAGGTTCACATTTTATTTATTTCTTCAAGATTTTTTTAACTTTTACTTTTTACCCGTTTTCTAAAACTGCAAAACGTTCAAAACACTAGGGGTTCCTAAACTTTTCATAGTCGTATCATTTAAGCTTTAAAATGTATTTTAAGTAAATTCGCAATATAATAATAAATTATGACCCTTTTTGAGGTAAAGAAATTTTTTTAACAAAATCAATTTTCCTTAACTAGGTAATTACTTTTACTTTTAAGCACTGATTCAAATAAGTTAAAACTCATACATACTCATCAAACTCATACAATTAGTTTCAATATGTTTAATTAATTGCGTGATAATTTTTTCAAGTTTATCAAAATAATGATTTATAAAATTAAAGCAATCTAAAGAAAAAAATAAAGAACAAAAAAGATTTATTTCTAGGTGAGCCTGCAAAGAACTCAATTCAGAAAATAGGAGATAAATATGTTTTTTGGTGTGTCATAGAAACAATTGTATCGATCTTTTAAAAACAATTGTCCTTTGATTTAACTCATAAAAGAGTTTGTGGAAGCAGAAATTAGTTTAAATACATTTTCTCACCTGATAAACTAAGTTCAAACTATCACTAAAATTTACCACATATTTTATTGTTTAGCAACCACATATTTTATTACCTTAACAAATATAAAGTAGAAAAAGTAAAAACTTTATTTGATTTCTCCCATAATTACCACATTGAGAATTTTGATACTACAAATGTAGTGGTACTATGGATTTTTATTTGGTTTATTTAAAATGCCTGACGCTTCTCCAAGTAACTTCTAAAAGTAACTTTTCTCCAAGCATCAATGTTATAACTAGAATAATATTAATGTGGCAGTCTGATTAAAAATTCTTTTATGCATTTAAAAGTTCAACACATTCCCAATTACTAGTTTTAAGTATTTTAATGCAGTTTTAAGGCTCTCTTTTATATTTCATATTTTATATTTCATGAAACTACTACATAATCCTTATAAAAAGAAAACCTGAGTTTTAAACTTTTTGTGTATATAAAATATTAGGATTAGTTAATTTCAGATTTTTTTGTATCATGTATGAATAAATATCAATACTTTTCATGTTTTAACTATATAAAAATATAAATTTTATTTACAAAATTTTACAAATAAGTATTTTAGAATATATAATTAATAAAACAAGTTGTAACACTAATCTAGTCTTGCTGAGACCCAATTATTACATAACCATTTAGAATAAAATACATATAATGTTTTTGCCACATAAAATCGGATACATCATTTACCCAGTGGGAAATGAGCTAGCAACTAGCTAGTCGCTACTTATGGGAAAAACACGCTTTAAAGACGTATAAAATACGTAGTAATATGTGTTTTAGACGTTTTAAAACGTCTTACGAAAAATTGCTGTCTTTTTTTTACCGGTTAACTTGAAAAAATCTTATTATTTTTTTATATTCGATTATATAAGTGAAATTTTAACAAAAAGAAGTACCGTAACATGGGGTTACTTCAATCCACTTTATTGCGATTTTTGGTTTTAACGATCAATTTTGGTCTATTCAAAATATTTTTTCAATCTTTTTTTTATTCAAATTATTAATAAAGGTATTAACCTTTAATTCGAGCTATTTAATTTATAAAATAGATTAAAAACAGATATAGTTTTTAGTTTTCCAAAAAGTGGCCTAATGTTACCCTGGGTTGGTGTTTCTTTAGGCCATGTATACTTGGTGTGCTGTTTTGTTTTATTAACATTCAAATTACTTAAATAATTACTTTCATAATCTTAAAACAAATACTAACTTAATATTTACTTTAGGAAATATCTCGAAATTGTTAAAACAAATGGCCTTTGATCTATATAAAGACAAAAAAAAAAAAGGAAAAAACTTTGTATATTGTATCAAATATTTTTTTTGTTCTGTAATAACAATAAACAATAACTAAATAACAAGTAGGTAGGCATCTACTCTATATAAACATATAATGTTTAATAATAATTGTTTCAGTCAGATTTAAATGCACGTAGCTTACACCTATATTCACTGTTAGATGTTGCACTAGAGATAACACATTTAACTTTTTTTCGTTTCTGGGACACTTTTACAGTATTTTTGACTGGTATAACATCTGATTCTTCTGAGTCAGGACAGATTCCTTTTCCTGGTGGAACATTTAGTTTTTTTTTGCGCTTTAACATTGAAGGTCCAAGGTCTGCACGATTGTCATTCAAATGACTGATAAATGCTTTAGAAATAAGACTTAGATCAGCAGATGATCGATCCTGCAGTGGTAGGCGATTAATAAGAGGTTCTTTATCACAGGGAAAAATTCCACACTTAGCAAAACCTGATATCAAATTTTCACTAGAAGTGTCTTTTATTAATTCCAGCACTTTTTTTAAAAGTGATGGAAAGTGTCCTTTTGGAAGTGTTGTAGATTTTTTACCTACAGGTGATTCTTTCCACAAAGTTAAAACAATTTTCCACTTATTTTTTAGTGGCCTAAAATAGGCAACATCTAGAGGTTGTGTCAAATGCGATGAGTTAGGTGGTAAACAAACAAATACTATGTTATTTTCTTTACACAGTTTTAAAACATTCTGACTAATGTGCGATGACAAATTATCCCCAATAAGAACTTTTTTTCCGGTCTGTTTTTTCAGTATAGGAAGCAGGTGAGCAGTAAACCACTCCTCGAATGTAGCATTATCTAACCATCCATGTTTTGTGCGATTGTACCTAGTTCCATGGGGACCGTTTTCAGTCCATGTGGACCACAGATGTTCTGATTTGTAGACAACATAAGGTGGTATTGTACCTCCAGCAGCATTGCCACAAAACATGACTGAAATATTGGACTTTGATGAGTTTATTACTCTTTCAGGGTATTTACAGCCTCTACGACATATAATTTTTTTGCGTCCTGGGTCATCACTTAGGTTTGTTTCATCGTAGTTGTATATATTTTCTGCTGGCACATTTGTAACAACTTGGGCGAGGTTTTCAATATACTCACTTAAGGTTTTTTCATTAATTGCAGCCCGATAGCGTTTTATATTGGCTGCCAAGCGCAAAGTAAGCATAGGATGTCTTTTTAAAAATATTTTACTCCATTCTAGTCCTGGAAAATTATTTCTAAACTGTGGAATAGTTTTATTTTGCGAAGTGAGGTAATCCTTTACAATAAACCTAAAATCCAATTCATCCAAAGGGAATCCAAACTCAGACACTGCCACGATGTGAGCAACAAAAGCTGATTCTTCCGAAGCAGTAAATATTGTAGGATGCCCTGGGTTTTGATTGTGCTTTAGCTTCAGTTTGTTTTGTATGGTATTTCTACATATTTCAAAATGTTTTGATGCTTCTCTCTGGCTCATTCGACCTTCATTAATAGCAGAAAGGCACTGTTGGAGCTTTTTTGGAGAATAGTCCACATATTTTCTGGAGCCTGGTCTTCTAGTATACATTCTTGGCATTTTTATTAGCTAGAATATAAATCAATCAATATTTTACTATTAAAAGAAAATAGTTTACAACATAGTAAAATTAATACAATACTTTTATAAAGAAGAAATGCAAAGAAACCTTTTTGAAGAGACTATGAAAGAGACTTTTGTGAAGAGACTACTTTTATAAAGAAGAAATGCAAAGAAACCTTTTTGAAGAGACTATGAAAAGAGACTTTTGTGAGGGGACAAGTAGTACAAGACTAATTAATATAATAAACAATATAAAAATAACAACAGACAAACAACAACTAAAGAAACAAAAAATAAAATCAATAATATATAAATATTTTATATATAATTTCATAATAATAATAATAATATATCTATTAATAACTTTAATTTATCATATTTGTTATAATAACAATGATAATAATAATAATAATAACAATAGCAATAATAAATAAAATTAAGAAATAAACCATATGATATGTCCATTTAATGTAAATAAAATGATTGGATTTTATTTATGATGTGGTGTTACTTTAAGTCCGGCCTAAAGTAACCCCATTTTTAAATAAAAACTCACTCAAATAAGATAAGTTATTTTTTTCTCAAAACTGAATAAAAAAACAGTAAAAAAAATACTCAAATCTTTTTACCAAAGTGTTAGTCTAACAAACTCAGTGATTTTTTTTTTCTGTAGTGTGTACTACAAAAGCAAACCACGTAGAAGTTCTGCACAGTAAATTTTACAAACAAGTTCAGTTACTTTTTGACATCCAATTAACAGATGTATTATTTAGTGTGCGGCAAAGGCAATATGGTTTCTTGACAGTATTTGCCACATATAAATTAAAAAATAGCAAAGAACGCGTCACTTTTAGGACGTTTGAACAGGAGAAGCATGAAACTTAAATTTTCAGTGGTGGAACAAAGTAGGAACTTAAGGCACAAAGTAACCCCGTGTTACGGTACGTCGAATATCCTAACTAACTATTTAATAGCATATTTATTTAATAACTGTGAAAAAGTTTTTGATATATAACTAAGTTCTTTTACTTCATTTCACGAATTCTGAAATTTTAACTTTACAACTGTTTCTAGTATCTTGTTCTAAGCAGCACATCGCACAGTGGGCCAGTTGGTGGACAAAAGTAAAAAAAAAATACATTATCAAAAATTACAAAAATTACCATTTTATAGCTTAAACATTCATCTTTTCTAAAATGTATATATTTTTGTATAATTATCATGACGTCATGCTTTAACTGTAGAATAAAAAGCTTTTTTTTTTTAAAAAAATTTTCTAAAAATTATTTTTAATTTGTATTTTTATGTTACTAATAAAAATGGAATTGGTGTTGACTTAAAAATCAATCTTTTTAATTAATAAAATCATTTAAATCAATTAATCTTTCAAATTAGCTATTACAACACTACGTTGCATGTAAGTTACGTTAAATAAAATCATTTCAAATGACGGGGTCTTTGAAGTACCGTAACACGGGGTTACTTTGTGCCTTAAGTTCCTACTTTGTTCCACCACTGAAAATTTAAGTTTCATGCTTCTCCTGTTCAAACGTCCTAAAAGTGACGCGTTCTTTGCTATTTTTTAATTTATATGTGGCAAATACTGTCAAGAAACCATATTGCCTTTGCCGCATACTAAATAATACATCTGTTAATTGGATGTCAAAAAGTAACTGAACTTGTTTGTAAAATTTACTGTGCAGAACTTCTACGTGGTTTGCTTTTGTAGTACACACTACAGAAAAAAAAATCACTGAGTTTGTTAGACTAACACTTTGGTAAAAAGATTTGAGTATTTTTTTTACTGTTTTTTTATTCAGTTTTGAGAAAAAAATAACTTATCTTATTTGAGTGAGTTTTTATTTAAAAATGGGGTTACTTTAGGCCGGACTTAAAGTAACACCACATCATAAATAAAATCCAATCATTTTATTTACATTAAATGGACATATCATATGGTTTATTTCTTAATTTTATTTATTATTGCTATTGTTATTATTATTATTATTATCATTGTTATTATAACAAATATGATAAATTAAAGTTATTAATAGATATATTATTATTATTATTATGAAATTATATATAAAATATTTATATATTATTGATTTTATTTTTTGTTTCTTTAGTTGTTGTTTGTCTGTTGTTATTTTTATATTGTTTATTATATTAATTAGTCTTGTACTACTTGTCCCCTCACAAAAGTCTCTTTTCATAGTCTCTTCAAAAAGGTTTCTTTGCATTTCTTCTTTATAAAAGTAGTCTCTTCACAAAAGTCTCTTTCATAGTCTCTTCAAAAAGGTTTCTTTGCATTTCTTCTTTATAAAAGTATTGTATTAATTTTACTATGTTGTAAACTATTTTCTTTTAATAGTAAAATATTGATTGATTTATATTCTAGCTAATAAAAATGCCAAGAATGTATACTAGAAGACCAGGCTCCAGAAAATATGTGGACTATTCTCCAAAAAAGCTCCAACAGTGCCTTTCTGCTATTAATGAAGGTCGAATGAGCCAGAGAGAAGCATCAAAACATTTTGAAATATGTAGAAATACCATACAAAACAAACTGAAGCTAAAGCACAATCAAAACCCAGGGCATCCTACAATATTTACTGCTTCGGAAGAATCAGCTTTTGTTGCTCACATCGTGGCAGTGTCTGAGTTTGGATTCCCTTTGGATGAATTGGATTTTAGGTTTATTGTAAAGGATTACCTCACTTCGCAAAATAAAACTATTCCACAGTTTAGAAATAATTTTCCAGGACTAGAATGGAGTAAAATATTTTTAAAAAGACATCCTATGCTTACTTTGCGCTTGGCAGCCAATATAAAACGCTATCGGGCTGCAATTAATGAAAAAACCTTAAGTGAGTATATTGAAAACCTCGCCCAAGTTGTTACAAATGTGCCAGCAGAAAATATATACAACTACGATGAAACAAACCTAAGTGATGACCCAGGACGCAAAAAAATTATATGTCGTAGAGGCTGTAAATACCCTGAAAGAGTAATAAACTCATCAAAGTCCAATATTTCAGTCATGTTTTGTGGCAATGCTGCTGGAGGTACAATACCACCTTATGTTGTCTACAAATCAGAACATCTGTGGTCCACATGGACTGAAAACGGTCCCCATGGAACTAGGTACAATCGCACAAAACATGGATGGTTAGATAATGCTACATTCGAGGAGTGGTTTACTGCTCACCTGCTTCCTATACTGAAAAAACAGACCGGAAAAAAAGTTCTTATTGGGGATAATTTGTCATCGCACATTAGTCAGAATGTTTTAAAACTGTGTAAAGAAAATAACATAGTATTTGTTTGTTTACCACCTAACTCATCGCATTTGACACAACCTCTAGATGTTGCCTATTTTAGGCCACTAAAAAATAAGTGGAAAATTGTTTTAACTTTGTGGAAAGAATCACCTGTAGGTAAAAAATCTACAACACTTCCAAAAGGACACTTTCCATCACTTTTAAAAAAAGTGCTGGAATTAATAAAAGACACTTCTAGTGAAAATTTGATATCAGGTTTTGCTAAGTGTGGAATTTTTCCCTGTGATAAAGAACCTCTTATTAATCGCCTACCACTGCAGGATCGATCATCTGCTGATCTAAGTCTTATTTCTAAAGCATTTATCAGTCATTTGAATGACAATCGTGCAGACCTTGGACCTTCAATGTTAAAGCGCAAAAAAAAACTAAATGTTCCACCAGGAAAAGGAATCTGTCCTGACTCAGAAGAATCAGATGTTATACCAGTCAAAAATACTGTAAAAGTGTCCCAGAAACGAAAAAAAGTTAAATGTGTTATCTCTAGTGCAACATCTAACAGTGAATATAGGTGTAAGCTACGTGCATTTAAATCTGACTGAAACAATTATTATTAAACATTATATGTTTATATAGAGTAGATGCCTACCTACTTGTTATTTAGTTATTGTTTATTGTTATTACAGAACAAAAAAAATATTTGATACAATATACAAAGTTTTTTCCTTTTTTTTTTTTGTCTTTATATAGATCAAAGGCCATTTGTTTTAACAATTTCGAGATATTTCCTAAAGTAAATATTAAGTTAGTATTTGTTTTAAGATTATGAAAGTAATTATTTAAGTAATTTGAATGTTAATAAAACAAAACAGCACACCAAGTATACATGGCCTAAAGAAACACCAACCCAGGGTAACATTAGGCCACTTTTTGGAAAACTAAAAACTATATCTGTTTTTAATCTATTTTATAAATTAAATAGCTCGAATTAAAGGTTAATACCTTTATTAATAATTTGAATAAAAAAAAGATTGAAAAAATATTTTGAATAGACCAAAATTGATCGTTAAAACCAAAAATCGCAATAAAGTGGATTGAAGTAACCCCATGTTACGGTAATCAAATAGTTAGTTAAGATACCTTTCGACGCCCTTGCAACAAAAAAACAACTGTTCAAGTTCCTTTGCCTTTTTTTTTTTTTAAAGAATTAAAATGCCGCACACATGAGTAGTTTTTGTAGACTAATTAAATTGTTTGTTGTGGTGACAATCACTAAACTTATTAATGAAACTGATTTTGAACAAAGATGTATGGTAACGTTATTTTCTAATTTATTTTTGATTTGTTACATTTTTTGATTAAAGATTTTAGTTGATGTTGAAGGTTTAAAGATACATAACCAAGTTGTAAAGATGGCAAGTAGAAAAAAAAGAAACCCAAATAGGAACCAATAGCTATAACCCTATAAACTAGTAAATAAAAACTAATAAGTACCCTAGTAAATAGAAGCTATTAGGGTTACTAATAACCATAATAGCTCAAATCAATTAATTCTAGGAGGTTTAATATCAAAAGCGAATCTAGCATTTTTCGGTCTTTGAGATATCTAACTTCAAGAAATATAGCAAAATTTAAACATTTATATGTTTATACTTTTTTCAAATAAGGATGCTTTGCAAAAAATTGCGATGATTGGAGCCTGGAAGCAAAAAGTTTTATGTCATTCATAATAGCTAACTTCCCAGACATTCCTAATGTCTGGAAGTTAGCTATTTCAAAGACCAAAAAAATGGTGGATCCGCCCTGCTTAATATACAGAAGACGGTATTATATATACAACAATATTAAACACGGTGAAGTCAGTTTTTAAAATCAGTGGCCAACTTGGTTAACTCTAAATAATTTCATGCAAGGCGCAGAATTTAGAACTTTATGAGAAAATCTCATTGAAATCAAAAACATTCCAATAAATAAGTAAATTATTTGTCAGTTTGTGTCGACTAATTTATTTTAATATTGTTTTATTAAAACATTGTTTTATTATAACATTATTTGCTGACTATTTATCTTTTTTACTTTAATGGGTAGTCAGAGAGATGGGTAGCTGTCTGAATGCCTATTATAATATTTTGTGTGCCATTAAACAAGCAAATAGTTTATTCCTGACATTTTGTAAAGTCTGGTTGTCCAGACAATATACAAAATTCTAATAATGTATCCACAGTATCAATAAAAACTGTGCAGCCAAGTTTGCATTCATTTTTTGTTTCGCAGATGAGCTCAACCTTAATTTTTACCTTTTATTTTCTTTATTTTTGAAATTAGTTTTTTAATGCAATTTTAACTGCCTTTAAAAGTCATTTATTTGTTTTTCGTATTTTTTTAATTTTATGGCAAGAAAAAAAAATCCGAACATTGATACTTTTTACTCATTGATCGTATTTTCCATTGGAAATGCCCTTAAAAAGTGCCATAAATCAATCAAATAAATAAATAAATAAAATGACAACTTTTTGGTTTAAAACATTTGTATAAGTTCAACTCCGGTATTTAAAAATAAAGAATATACTGTTAAATTTTAACCTAAAAGCTTATGTTGATCTTGAGATATCGTGTTTTTAAGTTAACAAAATTGCTAAATATTAAACATTAGGAAAAACAAAAAAAATTAAAATAAATTTAAAAAAATACTATAAACTCTTTAATTTAAGCCTGCAAAATAAGCACGAGCCTTCATACACTTTTATTTTATGTTGAAATTTATTTCTAGTGGCTTTTAATTTTCTTCAAATATTTATGCCTTTTGTTAAATATGATAACCTTTGATTTGTTTCTATGAATGTCCTTTATGCACTCAGTAAATGGGCCCCCGCAGGATTTTTTGATGTTTCAGATAAGACATTTTCAAACATTGTGCAAATTCCAAACTTAAGTATGTTTATACCTATGCCAAATGAGGAGGGTTGCAAAAATTTGGGATTACGGAGGCCTGGGAACAAAAAAATGGATATACAGTGAGACCCGTCACTGTTTAATCATAAGTAGCAAAGAACTTTTTGCCAAAACATTTTGTGATATTGCTTTTGTTTTTTATATAAGCAAAATGATTCTTGTAAGTTTTGATGTCATTGACAAGAATTTCAAATACATGAAACATGTAGTTTTAAACTGAATCCTTGTTGCTTAACTTCATTATTTCTTTAACTTTAACATTATATCCACAGTCTGAACAAGTACCTATCCCTTTTTATAAAAAAATCTCAATAAACCAAATTTATTTGTAATGTTATAATTATCTTTGCCTTCAAGAATTATTTGGTCGAGTTTTATGTTTCCTGATAATAGTTCCTTGTTGGCAGTAAAAGAATAGATGCTAACGTGTGTAAAATCTTATTTTTTACGTGTCTGTTCTGATTACAAACAAAGTTACGATTAAGTTCTAACATATTATTAAAATACAAATTTCTAAATTAAAACTATGGTGTTATTCAGTGACGGATCCAGCATTTTTTTAGTGTTAGAGCTAACTTCTAGATATGAAACAAACTCTAAACATTTGTATATTTATACTTATATCAAACAATAATGCTTTGCAAAAAATTGCAATGATTGGAGGCTGGGAATAAAATAGCCCTTAAATTTCATCCCTAACTACCCCAAACGTGAGGGGCAACAAGTTCATAAAACATTTTTTGTGGTAGTTTCAACTAGATTTATAATCATTGATAAATTTTAAGTTTCATAGTATTATCTCTCAGCGTTCAAAAATTATAATCTTATAAAGTTTGTAATCCCCTCGAATTGGATCCGTACTGTTGTTATTACTATTAATAGTGTTTTAGTCACATAAAAATAAAACATTGCATTTGTACTAAACTTAATTGTAATTTCAAAGAATGACTAATAAATTTAACTAAACATGCAGATGAAGAGTTTATCATGATTTAAAGTTAGTAATTTAAGTTACCATAAAACCAATTCAAATTTTTTTTAAATATGTTTATTTCGCTATTTACAATAAATACAATTTCCATATATATACAACAAAATAAGACAACCAGACTTTACAAAATGTCAGGAATAAACTATTTGCTTGTTTCATGGCACACAAAATATTATAATAGGCATTCAGACAGCTACCCATTACATAAAATTTTAGTTCTTGTGTAAATTAATAAAATTAATTTACACAAGAACTAAAATTTTATGTAAATTTATTTTACAAATATTTAAAGCTGCAAGTAAATACAATAAAAGCTCACTGGGTACTGCTCCAATTATCTATTCGCAACTTATCTAGGCAACTTTGGATAAAAGCAAAGTATAAACTTTTTTATGATTTAAAATTAAGAAATGATTTAGCTTTATAAATTATTCCTATATTTCTAGAAATTTTTTTCAAGAATGTTTATATGAAAATTCCATCCTTAATCTTTTAATTTCTCAACGCCTAAAAAGTTTACCGATGATTCTCTTTTAATTATAGCTTTATTTATAAAAGATTTAGCAATTTTAAAGGGACGTTATCAGTTTTTTTCAATTTTTGAAACAAAATGAATTTAGCTTTATCAGCATTCAGAGAAAGTTTGTTACTTACAAACCTCTCATTAACTTTATGTAATTGTTCATTAACATGCTTAAAAAGTATTTTAATATCTTTGTATGAATAAAAGTCTCCAAATAGAATAAAATTCATAAGGTTTGATGATAAATAAAAACCATTTATGTACAGTAAAAACAGTAATGGTCCTAGAATAGAGTGGAACCCCACAGGTTATTAAGTGTTTAACTGTTTCTTTTGAATTGTAGCATATGAATTGTTTTCTGTTTGATAAATAGTCTTTAAACCAAAGTACTATTTTATTTCTAATGTCATAATGTTCAAGTTTACTTGAACACTATGACATTAGAAATAAAATTGGATATCTTGGTTAGAGTTCGTAAGAAGATGATTGCTAAGAGCGTTACTATGCCTAAAATTCTCAATACTTTAAAAAAAAGGGGCTTAAATCAGATTTTTTGTTAGAAATATTCTAAAAATAACTTTAAAACGTATTCCTCATTGTTATTTAAAGTTGTTATTTAATTAGTTCTTTCACCGCTTTTTTGCAATCATCCCAATTTTTTCCTGGTCTTTCTTGTATTCCATCTATTCGTTATTTATTTCTTCTTAATCTATTTCCCAAGTCTACTGTTAATTTGTATAATATATTTACTTCAATGTTATAGTATTTTTCTACTTGTGGTAATTTTTTTGAAATTTTATCTTCTTGAAAACTAAGATTTTTTTTTCAATATTCGATGTTTTTCATTTATTGTTAATATTTTTCTCTATCGCGTCAACTCTATCAGTGATAATTTTGAGGTTTGCTTTTTCATTATTAAAGTAATTGTTTTTTCCTACTCCTTAAAAATCCTTAAGTTAATGCTCTTTAAGTAATCGTTCTCTTTCTTTAAGTTTTTTTGTGTTCTTCAAGCTTAGTTGTAATCATTTTTTCAAGTTCTTCATTGTTATTTCATTTTTAAATTAAAGTTTGGAACTTTTTTCACAGCGAAACGCGTCCGTATACCACAATGCTTTCCATGCAAAAATAAGGTTTACAAACTTAATAAAAGATTTATTTAATTAAAGATTTATGAGAGTATAGAATGGAATCGGGTGTGGGAAAATGTCATGCAATACCATAAATTCTCTTTTTTTGTATAATTACTTATAAACACCCTTATAACTAAATATACAAATAAAAAAAAAATTTATAATATAATAATCTTATAGCCAAAAACATTTTTCAATAAACTTAAAAATTTTTAATTTCAATCACCAAAAAAAAATCAAAGTATGTTTTCCATAAAAATAAATGTCCTACAGCTAAACAAACGTTTAACTGGTAAGAAAATGTCAAACACGATAAAGGGAGGCAACGATAGCAGACACTATCGAGGAGGTATTTACAAATAGATGAGGTATTTACGAAATGCGCTAGTTATTAGCAGTAATAAACTAATTTTTTGCAACTTTAATTAAGAATTTTTTTCAAGAATCGAATATATAGGTTTGTGATCTTCAAATACTGCCACTTTAAATGTAAGATCGTCAAAAATATTATTAAAGTTGTTGAGAAATAATACATAATCAAGAATGAAATTTTTCAAAAGGTTTCCAAAAATGAAGAAAAAATGCTGGCTTTTAAAAACAACATTTTTAAATCATATAATGCAAGCCAATGGAGAAGACCAGCATACCAGATCAAAAGCTTCTGGTATTTCAAAACCTTAGTTTCTTAGCCTTAGTTTCGCAAATGCACCTCCTTCTAATACACAATAGATTTTTTCTGTTATGAAATCTAACTTAGTGATAACCATAATCTTCTTTTTGCACCGGTCAATTGATCGGGGGAATAAAAGATTTATTTAAGTAAACTTTTTATTCATGTACTTCCTTATTGTAAATAATCTTTAAAGATGAAATGTATAATTAAAAAAAACTTTGCAAACTTAGTTAACAAGTCCTTTGTAGAACTAGAGGATTAAAGTTTAACTCAAAATGGTTACAAAGTTGTTTAACTCAAAATAAGATAGATGTTTAAACACTTTTTAAAAAATTTAGAGGGAATTAAAGAAAAAAAAAAAAAGAAAAGAGGTTTTTTGTGATTATACTTTTTGTATCTAAGAATATTGTTTGCAAGCATTTAGTTAACAAAATTGATTTTTACAAATTTAACTACCATTTTACACCTGTAATAAGACAATGTTGTTTTACATATAGGTTTCCTCATTTTAAAATCAGTTATGTTTTCTATATGTGTATCAGTCAGACATGTTCTCTATGTGTTTTCTATATGCCAGAGTTTTTGTACATGTTTTAAAGTCAGACGTGTTTTCAATATGTTTTAACGTCAGACATGTTTTCTATATGTTTTAAAGTCAGACATGTTTTCTGCATGTTTTTATATTGGGTTAGATCAAAATACTGTTTTATCACTAACCATTCCTTAAGTTTAGTTATTAAATTGATTTGTAAGAAAATAAGAAATAAAATTTTAAAAATTCTTATATTATATTCTATTTAAATCAAATACATTTCAAATTTTATAGAAAATAAATTTAAATATGAATAACATACTTATTTATTGAAGTTAATCTAAAACGCAATTACTACGTACCTGACGTAATAAGGTTACGTATGTATTACGTATTTATTAAGTAAGTATTATGAACCTATTTATGGAAAATTATTAAGCATCAACTGCATAATCGTACAAATAATATTCATCTGTATAAGGATGAGGTACTCCTGATTTGTGCATAATTTTTCGGAGCTTGTTCAGTCTTGTTCCACATGTATTTTGTGCAGAATACCAATCTCCTAGTTTTTCATACGATTTAGGCTTCAAATCAATTGAATTGATCATTTCGCATATTTTGCAGCTCCATGCACGTGGTTTGCCAAGTTTCCAAGTTTTTTTATACTCAAAATGTTTGTTATATGCGTTATCATTTTCGTCTAAATACTTTATGTAATTGGCAAGATCTTCAATTGTGTCAAAATCATTCACATCTATATAAGAGTTAGGTAGTGCTATCTTTTTATAATTTGCTCCCCCCATCACTATGGGAACTGTATGTCCATCTAAAATTGTTTCAGAAAACTTTTCAGAAACATAATCTTCACAAAACGAATTTTCAAAAGCTAAATAAAACTTGTAACGTTTTAGCCGTGCTTTACATTCAGCTGTACCTCGTTGACACACCGGAGGAGTTTTATCTTTATAAAACTTATTGGCGCAATTACCAAATACATCCACATTAATGAACTCTCTTAGTTTATGAATATAATGCTCTCTCATGCAACCACAATGGCTTATTCCACTCCATATTAACTTATCTTTATCTTCAGCGTGATTTCTAAACGATGTTGATTTTTCATCTAAACTTTTTTCCTCCCAAGAACCCCATTCCCAGTTGTATGGAACAAAAATATCCGCATCATGACGATATCCCATAGTCCAATTAAACAATCCATCATACAAATAAGGTTCAGGTTTAGCGTTATGAGGACACTCATGAAGAAAATATATCCAGTAAGAGTTCGGGTTTCGATCTTTTTGAATCTTCAGTAACTCTCGACGAGTCAACATATCACTACCAAATGCGTGAAAAAGAACTACGTCAGCTTTACTAAGCAGCTTCTTGTTATAGGTTACTCGACAGTTTTGAACTTTACATGGGTGTCCGCCCCAATTGTTCCATTTTTCAGTTGTTTCTAAACCCGTCCATAGTTTACTACCCCATAATGTATTGTAAATTAGAATAAGTTTAGGTTCAATATTCTCGTTTGTTGTGTTTAAAACAAGCTCTCGTGAAGTTTTTTTATTGCCAAGATATCTTAAGATTATTATAAATGATACAACTAGCAGTATGAAATATACGGAGTACCTCAACTTTTTAACACTATTTCTAGATAATGTCATCGTTTCTAAAGAAGGTATAAATATTAAAACATTTTTAACATGTTTTGTAGAAAACCAAAATTAAAAAAAATAAACAACAATATCACATTAACAAAAAATTTGTATCACACTGTGTGATACCAAGTTATTATTATTTTTTCAAACTTTATTGGTTTGTAACAAAAGCTGCCATCTTTAAATATAGTAATAATCAACATTAAAAAAAATGGCATGCTAAGCAAAAAACAGTTTTAAATAAACACTTTTAAAAATGCACCTTCGAAAAAAAAATTATTTTCTATAAAATACTTATACATAGTATAAAAAACTTTCAGTTATAAAACTCTGAAAGACTTAATCGTCAATTGTAATTTCTATTTATAAAATAATTAAAAGAGCTATTATTCATTATAAGTAATCATTTTTATTAAATACTCTTTTTGTTATTGTTAAAACAATTGCGACGATATTTTACTTAACAACAATTATGTTTTTACTTTAAAACTTGTTTGATCGTTTCAGGAAGTATTTAATTAAATGTAATTCTTTTTGTTAGTAAAAGTTAATTTATACATATATATATATATATATATATATATATATATATATATATATATATATATATATATATATATATATATATATATATATATATATATATATATATATATATATATATATATATATATATATATATATATATATATATATATATATATATATATATATATTTATATATATGATGAGTTGTTTGTTCATTAAATTGACGTCAGAAGACGTCACAAAATGCACTTTTTTTATATTAGATTAAAATAGATAACGTGGAGCAAAATTTTAAATAAAAAATTTACCTAAAAGATAATAAAATGATTAGGTTCATGACGATAATCTTTAGAAACCAATGTTTATAATGACATCAGTGTTTTTTGTTACGCTTGTAAGCGTATTGAAACATGAATAATTTTAGTTATATTTTTTCAGATACTCTATTTTAAAAAAATTGCCTGAGGTTGGTTACTTTTTAAACAAAATTTGTATAACTTTTGTAATCATATCTACAAACGGAAATTTTAGTTTATTCTTTTGGGAATTTATAGTCAAATTTGTATTTGACTTTTATCCTTTCTTCAAAAACAATAGTTGCATAGTTTTTATAAGTTTTTAGACAAAAGTTATTTTTTATAATAGTAAATATTAAAAATAAAGGTCTAAAAAATTTACAAAATAACGTTTCATGTTAAACGTAATTAAGAAAAAAATATATGCATATGAAATGCGTTTCAAAAATACATGTAAAGTCAAACTCCCTCCCTCCCCCTCAGAGAATTTATTGGCCATGTTTGCTCAGGTAGCAAGCTTACATTGGCTGAATATTGAGCCAATGCATGCCGATAAAGTGACCTAACGTTAAAATTTGATATTAGACAAATACAGGTTTGATCATAATATAGGCATTGGCCCAACGTGGTATAAAACATTGGCCCATTGTTGTAAAAAACATAGGGCCAATGTTGTACACGACTTTAAAATAAAGTTATAAAAATTATCTGTTTGCTGAATACGACAAAAAAAAATTTTTCTGTCACGAGGATTGCTAGCTATTTTAGACAAGAAAATAGGTATCGATATATGTAAAGATAAAGATCACGAGGACAGCTAGCTTATTAAGCTAAAGGCTTACTGGATTATGTAGCTAGCGTCATACCGTAATAAAATCGCTGAGTAAAACTGGGCTTTAATTAACTTAAATAATTTTATGTGGCATTCATTCAACTTTTCCTAGAGTGTTCAGTGCCAGAATGGTTCTCGTACCTAAAAGTGGCTGTAAAATAGTTAAAGAGCTACAGTATCAATCCGGTTTTTAAAGTATCAATCCACCGAACAATCTTCGTAACGTAAATACCGAAAATTCAGTTCGGTATTTGCGTTACAAAGATTGTTTGAAAGTTTTTAAATTAAACTAGGACCATATGAAGAGACATAATGACAACTCTGACTAAAAAAGAGCTATCAACTCTGACTAAATTTTGAACATTCTGTATGTTATGTTCTAAAAAACAACACACAAAATGTTCAAAACTAAGTCACAGATTCTGATTTAACTATGTTAGACAAGTAATAAAATTAGGAAATTTATGAAACTAAATGCCTTAGGAAACTGTAAAACATAAAAGATAAAATTAACTTATGTAAAGCAGGTTTGACTGTTGGACGAATAATGATAAAACTGGCTGAATTACAACAATAAAGAGAAGAGTGAAGTACGCAAAAAAGTTAGTAATATCAAACATTAAATATGTTGATGTATCGAAACTGTAAATAAAATTTATTGCAGACAATCTTCTCAGGCTTGTATAAGATTTCAAAATTTCTACGGAAAAATCTTGTAAATCAAAAAATCACTTTTAATATTTTTATTAATAAAGACAAAGAGTTTAACCAGCCTCAAAAAGTACGTTTGGCAAAGATCCAAACATATATATATATATATATATATATATATATATATATATATATATATATATATATATATATATATATATATATATATATATATATATATATATATATATATATATATATATACATATAATATATATATATATATATATATATATATATATATATATATATATATATATATATATATATACATATATACATATATATATATATATATATATATATATATATATATATATATATATATATATATATATATATATATATATATATATATATATATATATATATATATATATATATATATATATATATATATATATATATATATATATGTATATATTTATATGTATATATGTATATATTTATGTATGTATATATAATAATAAAAACATTTGTCTTTTTTTCAACAAGCTATTTCGCCAAAAGACTCTTCAGGAAGTGTTTTTACTAATTTATTATTGCTTAACTACCTCAAAACTTGTATTTTACCCTTTTTTAAACCCATTTTTGGCAGGTTTAAGCTAGTACTAAAACTCAAAAATATCAATTTTTTTTTTTGAGGGTTTTTTCTTTGTTAGAAAAACTAAATAAAAATCCATGGTAATATTGTTTATTAGAAACATTATGTGTAAATCTGTCTACAAAATCGCATAATTGCAATAATCGCAATTTTTCAAATTTTTGCCCATAAAGATAATTTTTCCAATATGTTTTAAGTTTTTTGATAGAAGCACCAAACATATGTTGCATAAAACATCTAACAAATTTATACAACAAACTTTTTAATAATTTATTATTAAAAAAAATTTTGCTGTCATATTTTTATTTGCTTTTTATTTTTCTTGGTGGTCTTGCTTTTTCCTCTATTCTTCCTTTAGTAGTTGTGCAAAAATAAAAGTACTGTCTCTTCTCTACAATTTTAGCAACATCAATATTGCCCTTTATGAGCTTAACAGTTTTTAATTCAACTTTTTATTTTAAATGCCCCAAGAAGCCCTAACGCTCTTATCACAAAGCACCTCAGAACAGCATTTAACAGGAAGTTTACACCTTTTTTCATACTGGTGTATCAAAACTTGCCCATAGCCGGCTTTAAACAACAGATCTCTTACCTATTTGGCTTTGGCTGGGGTTCTTTCATAGCAATGATTAAAAACAGCAAGAGAAGATATAAATAAAAATCCTGAAGTTTTAGGTAGAAGTCTTTTCAATATTTAAAAGCGGAGGGGAGAGATTCATCCATTGACATCCTCTTTTAATTTAACCTATTATAAGAAACAAGAGTTGGGAAATTGTTTTGCCTAATCAAATTAACATTGGCGGCTTCGATCCACTGAAATCTAAACAACTAAGGAACTTGATGTTGGCTCTCATTTGGGCTGATGGATAATCACCCTTAGTTTTTTTTAACCTTAAAACTTAACCTCTTTCTTCAAATTTTTATTCGGCTAGAGCTAGCACAATAAGATAAAAGTCTAGAAACCATGAAATATTAAATAGACCATGAAAGATTTAATAAACCATGAAAGATTTAATAACTTCATACTAATTTTACTTATACATATTCATTTGCAGAAAAGCTCCTGGATGTCCTATCCCCTGGATGAGCTTCTGAATGACCTATCCTGGATGAGCTCTTTTAATTTTTTTACATGTTTATTTTACAACTACAAATTATTTACAAGTAACCAATCACAGATTGGCGGTAAAGATATACAAACATAAATATCATAAACATAAAGTTCGAAATATACGAAGTAAAAAATATACAGTTGCATACAACTCCGAGACACGATTAAAGTAAACACCAATTACAACAATGTAGTAACGTGTACGTAAAAATAATCCGATAAATATATCTCTATATTATTCCAGTTAAAATAAAAAATAAATTATCTGATTTTTCGGAGAAGTGTTTAGATGTTTGACAATAAGTTTATTTACCACCTTTCAAACTAATGCTTGTGTATAAATATGATAAAAACAAAATTTGTGTAATATTGATTAGAAGAATTACTTGTTAGTAGTTATAGGAAGTTCGCAGAAGACTTAAGTCAGTCTTGTCATCGAATACCCTTTTCTGGACGTGTAACAAACATAAAAATCAGTTGCATACGTAGTATATATGTATGTTGTACATATATACCTTGTTATTAGTATTATTATTTTTTATTATCAATTTGTATTAACATTTTTTAAAATTTTTTTTATTAATATTTAAAAAAACTTCTTATAGTAGTTGAATTTGACTATTATAGATTTTAGCTTTATTTTCAAAGAGTGTTCGTTGTTTAGGTTTAATAGTGATTCGTTTCTGGAAACTAATTTGTTAAATAAATAGAGACCACGATATGTAATTGAGAATTTTGATAGTCTTGTTGTTTCAAACGATATCTTAAAGTTGTAGATGGATAGGTTCGCTTCGCTTCTATTTTTTAAGTATATTACGTATAGTTTTTGATTTGTTTTGAGGATTTTCTTATTTCCTTTGTTATCCGTGGACAATTTAAATATTTTGCTTTTATTTCTTTTTCTTGAATTGAAAAACTTTTATTAAACTGTAGAATAAATAAATTTATAA